GCAGACCAAAAACACATTAAAAAAAGGGAGGAAATGAGTGAAGTTGCATTCCTGGAGAAAAGGATATGACGTTTTGCCCTGAGTTGGTTGAGAGCCTATGCTCCACTGAAGAATAAAGGGCAGAATAAGACAAATTAAACCTGCTGTCTGTGGAACAAACAGAGAAACATAAATAAAGGGAGGAAAAGAGTGGGGGGGGGGGGGGGGGGGGGGGGGGGGGGGGGCTGCAAGAGATAACAAATGATATGACAACATTGAGAAATAAACAGCAGAATATGAAAACTAGATAATTAGAGCAGTTGACAAGCATACTCACAAATGTCACTTGCAAAAAGGCACTTAATGATGTCTGTATGTTCTCAGCTGTATATTATAATATGTATAGAGGCTGCAACAGCTGGTTGTTATAGTGATGAATGTTGTAGGTATAGGAAACAGAGCCATACTGTTGTACATGCAGGGGAGTAGATAGTAAACTACACTTAGGCCTTGTTTTAAAGTCTGTGAGTCATCAGACTTTACACGTTAGTTTGTGTATTTCAGACTCATACAGTAGTGCTGTGGTACTAAGCTACAGAGAAATCTATACTGAGTCATACAGTAGTGTTTTTGTACATAGCAACTTACAACAGGTGAGAGGAGATGTAAAAAAAAAAGCAGTGGGAAAAACCAGAACAAACAGAGTCACCAAGGATAAACTAAGAACAACGGTATCAGTAAATCATTTCAAACGTCAAAGAATAAAATGGTTTTGTCTCCTGGTCAGAATGATAATTAGCCAGCAGCTATAGCGTAATAGTGTTTCCCAAACTGTTCTTGGTCGCGGCAACTTTTTTCAATAAAAATGTTTCCATGGTGCCCTAACCTAAGTAAAAGTATGATTATTCGTGTCTTAGTTAAATTAATTATGAAGCCTTTACGGTGATATTGAGCCATACAGTGCGGTGATAGTGAGCCATACAGTGCAGTGATATTGAGCCATACAGTGCGGTGATAGTGAACCATACAGTGCAGTGATATTGAGCCATACAGTGCGGTGATAGTGAGCCATACAGTGCAGTGATATTGAGCCATACAGTGCAGTGATATTGAGCCATACAGTGCTGTGATATTGAGCCATACAGTGCAGTAATATTGAGCCATACAGTGCAGTGATATTGAGCCATACAGTGCTGTGATAGTGAGCCATACATTGTTGTATATTGTGAGCCATACAGTGCTGTAATAGTGAGCCATACAGTGCTGTGATAGTGAGCCATACAGTGCTGTGATAATGAGCCATACAGTGGCTGTGATAGTGAACCATACAGTGCTGTGATAGTGAGCCATACATTGCTGTGATAGTGAACCATATATTGCTTTGATAGTGAGCTATACAGTGCTGTGATAGTGATCCGTACAGTTCTGTGATAGTGAGCCATACAGTGCTGGAATAGTGATCCATACAGGGCTTTGATAGTGAACCATACAGTGCTGTGATAGTGAACCATACAGTGCTGTGATAGTGAACCATACAGTGCTGTGATAGTGAGCCATACAGTGCTGTGATAATGAACCATACAGTGCTTTGATAGTGAGCCATACAGTGCTGTGATAGTGAACCATACAGTGCTGTGATAGTGAGCCATACACTGCTGTGATAATGAGCCATACAGGGGCTGTGATAGTGAACCATACAGTGCTTTGATAGTGAGCCATACATTGCTGTGATAGTGAACCATACATTGCTGTGATAGTGAGCCATACAGTGTGAATCTGTCTTATTCCATAAACTATTATTGCTGCAAAATACAACTTATCCACAATAAGTTTACATAGGTCTAGTTGAAAGTTAGTTTAGGGCCTATGCTCCACTGGGAGATGAAAGACAGAATGAGTCTTGATTATGAATGACGTAATATGTTGTCATATCTAACTCTTTTTGTATGGGGTTGGGGGGGGGGGGGATAGGAGTGGAAGGCTGGAGGATACAGAAAGAGAGATTGAACAATTTATATTCTGCCGTAAAAAAAAATTAATTGAGTGTCTAGGCTTGTTAGACATGCCATGTCTGTGTGTTTATTCATGAAGTCACTGTTTGTATGATATTATCATCCTAAGTAAGTTTACAGAAAACACAAAGACAGTTTCTAACTGTAGTCATAGTAGAGCATAATGAAATTGAATAATTCATTTGGTCTGAAATCTCCATGAGATAGCAGTTTTTGAAGAGAGTACTAGTATTGTCAGGTACGTGAGACTTCTGTATCAGAGTTCACCTCTCTTTTGACAAAGTGGCTGTCAAGTTGACTGAAGACTTTTGATGTACTGATGAAATAATATTGATATTTGAAAATAACATCAAGAAGAGGATTGGTTTTCTAGCAGTTTCTTTCTTCAGACCTCATTTATTTAATGTACATTTTTTGATAAATAGAAACAGTTGGTTTGAACATGCCCTGGGAATCATCATCATGTTGAGGGCCCCTTGTTCTCTACCATCCCACCATAGTCTGTCGTAGGGTCTCTTGGTCGCTTGTCAGGGAGACGGTCTCACTTATTTCCCTGATCACTGGACTGGAGTCTCCCAGAAATGTTAAATGTTCCATACATTCACTGATATGAACCTTCAGTGCCCCTGTCATGTAGCAGACACTGCTTTTATACATGTACTTGGTCAGCACAGGAGCTGAGGCTGCCAGCTCCCTTCCTCCACTGACTGTCAACACATAGTACACTGAAACTGAACACCTAACCCTGAGTGGCTTGGGTGCACTCATAATTGGTTTTGGACATAAACTTTGCACCCCCTCTCTGACAGTATAGACACACCCCCTCTCCCTACCCTCCCAGTGGTTGCATGTTGATGATGATACTGTCAGGGGAGTGCTGGTAATGAATGAACTAGATGGGTATTGTGTGTAGGTTTGTTTGTGTGTGTGTGTGTGTTGCATGCATGTGTGTGTGTGTGTGTGTGTGTTTGTGTCTGTGCTGACCCTGTTGAGTTTAATACACATTTGAGTGAAGTGTTGTTTGAGGGCGTGAGTATATCTGTCTGAGCTGGCTCCGAGAAGGCCAGTCCTTGAGAACACCGACGGACATTGTGCCTGGCCATTCACCCATAGGCTGAGGTAAAGTTGTGTGGCAGATATAGACTGTTCAAGTATCTGTTGACTCTGTGGGTAGAGAAACAGAGCTGATATCAGTGTGTTCTGGCATTGATTTTTGTTAATCAAGTGAGTTTTGACATACTTTAACTGACTTCACTCAGTGTTAACAGCAAATTATGTTAAATGTGAACATGTGTTGCACAGATTGTAGAAACTGATAATGCTAAATGTTAGCACATGGTGGGCATAATGTTAACACAGGTGGCATGTGAAATTGCTGGAGTAACTGACACCGGTTTGTGTGTGTGTTTGTTATTCAGTTTTGTGACAGCTAACCTTTTGTAGAATAATGATATTAGGTAGGAAATACAGGGGATGACAGAAAGCAAGCTGGAGAATTGCCTGAATTGGAAGAATGAGCCAAGTGGATAATTGAACTGTTACCAGGAATTCTTAGAGTCTGTCAGACAGGATAACTTTATTATTTCTTTAGACTGTTTCTGTCTGTTAGACTGGACAGTCTAAACCCTGTTGTTTCCAGAAATTGTGTGTCTCAGTCTGATCCCTCTTGTTACCGAAGATTGTTTCTGTCAGTTTGTTTGATAATTATAGTATAATAGTATTGTTTTAAATGTGTTTCTTGTTGGTCAGTCATTGCTTTGCTTCCTCAACAGAACTTTTGTCAGTTGACATGACAGATTGGGAGCATCTACCGCCCCACTCTTTGAGAAGGTAAGTGATGTTGTATGTTGCCCTCAGAATGTGTTTGTCAAGGTGGAGATTAGTTTTATCTCTGACACTAGGCTTTCTCAGTTCAGGTGGGCCAGCAACAAATGTCTGCTCGATCATGTAAGGCGAGGCTCAGGGGCCACAATGTAAAGTAGTGATCATCATGGGTCAGAGGCCCAAACCTCAGCTTTGAAAGATCATTGATACAGTACAACTGGCAGGGGATATGTGGACCACTTGTTAGGCCTTTGCGGGCCACATTTGTTTCGCAGGGACCAGTTGAATAGCACTGATGTACGGGGTCAGGAAGGTGGTTTTTATTTTCCAGGATTGCAGCCTGTAAGAAGAATAAACCCCAAGGATGAGAACAGGTACCAATCCTAGAAACACCATTCAGCACTGGACAGTAACAGTTCTTGCTGGAATAAGATAGCTGTTGGTTATTTTATGGAGCGCCCACATTGGACAGCAGGTGAGTTCATAATCCTAGGCTGCCTGTTGTGTACAGTTGAACTTGTGTTTCTAAGGTTTGCTGCTGTAGGATTCACACCAGGACAGAGGTTGTGTCATTGGGTATCAATCTTTCAGGCTGCATCATTAAGGGGAATTACCAGTCTAAGGGCAATCTTCAACAGTTGCCACTAGTCTAAGGGCACTCTTCCACAGTTGCCACCAGTCTAAGGGCACTCTTCCACAGTTGCCACCAGTCTAAGGGCACTCTTCCACAGTTGCCACCAGTCTAAGGGCACTCTTCCACAGTTTGCCACCAGTCTAAGGGCACTCTTCCACAGTTGCCACCAGTCTAAGGGCACTCTTCCACAGTTGCCACCAGTCTAAGGGCACTCTTCCACAGTTGCCACCAGTCTAAGGGCACTCTTCCACAGTTGCCACCAGTCTAAGGGCACTCTTCCACAGTTGCCACCAGTCTAAGGGCACTCTTCCACAGTTGCCTCATACATGCTGAGTTACAGTAGGACACTTCTTTGTTTTCCTTGTCCTGCTAACACATGCTTCCTAGCTGCTGCCGAACTGTTCATGTAGGTCTTCCTGTTAGCCTCAAGACTTTTGACTTCCGTCTGACATATAGTTCATCCACCACCATTGAATGACATTTTTTTTTCTCTCCAGATTATTGCTGCAGTATCAGTGTGATATCTGCATTGACTGCATCTTCTACTCAAGATGCCAGAGCATTTCAAAAGAACAACAGGTACAGTTGTTACAAAGTAAAATGGACACAGTCAAAGACAGTTAGAAATCTTGGACTCTCATTTGTGACCAGGTCCATAGAGTATTAACTAGTAACTACCTTGCATGTCATAAGAGGCAACCACAGAGGTTTGGCTACTTCATCTAATAGAAGACTGTATGCATTAGTCAACAGAGGAAGTCAATGGGGATGGTTGAGGGTCTGTGCTGCCTTTGGAGATAAGAAGAATAAGAAGAGATTTAGAGTTGTGAGGGGGGGGGGGGGGGGGGACAGAGGGGGAAGGGGCTTAGAAGTACAACATTGACCTTTAACTCCTACCTGTCTGAATTTATGTTGTGAATGATTGGGTGATCTTTGAAACACTGAGCTCTAGTTCTGGAGTCTGATGTAATAGCTGGCAAACGCGAAAGAAGAACACAAGGCATGGGACAGAAAAGGTGAAAGATTGTAGTCTTCCGTATGGGAAATACTAAACACAGGAGACAGGCAGAGAGGCAAAGGATTTAGTCTTGAGAGAAATACCACTAGACAAGGGAGACAGAGACAGACAGAAATATATGTGGTCTCCTGGGGAAAGTTTGAACAGCTGGGTAACAAATAATAATGTGAGCAACACATTTCCAACACAGTATCATTTGACATACTATTTGAGAGTCATTATCACTTAAATCTACTCCAGACAAGATGCTTGAGAAAACATATACAGTGAAACTTTGTTAACATAAACTCACTTAATAAGAACACTTGATGTACATGACCAAATGTGTAATCCTGGCAGAAATGTAATAATTTGAGTTTTAAAATTATTTTTGTCTGATAATGAAATGAAGACTGATCTTTACTTTGGTAGGGCATGCAAGGGAGCTGACTGAGGCAGTGAAAGGCCCCACATTAGACCTGACAACTCTCACTGATCAAGAGGAAAAAATCATCCAGGCTGTCATTCAGAAAGATGAAGTTGAGAGGAGCATTCTTGAAGCTAAAATAAGGTGTGTTGTTGAGTGTTGAGTCTGCCTGGATATTGAGTCTCCATGAATGTCAAGTCTCCCTGAGTGTTGAGTCTCCCTGAGTGTTGAGTCTCCCTGAGTGTCAAGTCTCCCTGAAGTGTCGTCTCCCTGAATGTTGAGTCTCCCTGAGTGTCGTCTCCCTGAGTGTTGAGTTTCCATGAATGTCGAGTCTCCTGAGTGTTGAGTTTCTCTGAGTGTTGTCTCCCTGAGTGTTGAGTCCACCCGAGTGTTGTGTATGTACGGTGACTCTCACCCACTGATGGCTGTGTCACAGTAAAAGTAAAAAGTAAAGATCCCTTTTCATGCCTTCGGGTATATGAGAAGAGCACCTATATTTTTACAGACCATCGGCACTAGGTGGATAATGTGGTCAGCATTACGCCAGCCGTCTTTACTTCCCCAGGACAGCCATCCTGGTACCCACTTTAGGCTGGGTCGACCTGCGACTCCCCATACCATGATAAAAATCTACACAACCAGTAGTAAGTTTCGATCGCGGTATGTTTGAATTACAAATCGGACTCGCAACAACAAAAGCCACTGACACCGTCTATGTCACAGAGTGTTGAGATATTTGCTCCACCAGTGCTCTCAGCGAGCATAATTCTCTGTGTTGATTAGTGGTTGCTTATTCTGTGTCTAGAGTTTGAGGTGGCCAGTTAATAGGCATAAAGTGACAGCAGTCATCGCCTGTAGCCCGTATGTGCCCAGTCCTTTAGTTAACACAGAAATCATAAAACATTACCATCGTTTTGATATTTGTTTGTTCTTGTCATGTGATAGTTTGGTGCCCATTGCTAACAGAGAGAGGCAAAGCTAGCAAACAAACAAACTAAAACATCTGATTTTGACAAGCATTTACTTTAGATTTGCTTTCTCTAGCCTTTGACTATCACCAGTCTACCTACAAGACAGCAGGCTTGTGTCTGGTCCTTGATCTATTTGACAAGGGAGGCCTGACTAGTGCAGCATAGCTCAATACTGTCATCAATCCCTTCTACTATGTAAGGCACATCAGATGAGGACAGGAGAGCTTGTTGTTTGTTCAAGATTAACCCATTCACTAGTGATTGCTGGCTTCTAGTCCGTGGGACATTTTCCTGAACTTATTATTATTACTTTAACTCATCCTCTCTCATAGTGTTATTATTTTACCTCATTGTTCCTTGTGTGGGTTTAAGGGTCCATTGTGGGTGGAAGGGGGGGGGGGGGGGGGTAATGAATAAGTGACCCACTGGCCCTTAACCAGCGTATTGCAAATTTCAGCTTATTGACGGTTGTTAAAATCAGATGTTTTGGGCTCAGAGGTGGAGATATTGCTGCCTAGCTTTAAACCACAACATGCCAGCCACTATTTGAAGAGCAAAGACAGAAGCTTATTGTGAGCCAGACATGTGTTACAGTAGACACTTGCTGGGATCGACTAAGTTCACCAGGTATTGATAGAGTGAAAACACTGGTTTAACCAGAGTTAACATTTGATAGTTTCTTGTTGCAGTGAAGTGAGAAGGGAGATTCAGGAGATCAGGAAAGCAGGTGCTTTGTCTGCAGGAGATGATCAGAATGCCATCTGTGCACGCTGCAAGTTCAAGTTCTTGCCCTTCATAGTGCCCTGGGCTGACCACGGACAGAGATGTGGTACCTGCAAGTTTACAGTTTGTGCCAAGTGTCGCTCCCCGCAGCCTGGTGGTTCCTGGCTGTGTGTCTTGTGCTTCAAGTACAGGTGAGGGCATCCTAGTCTTGTGTTCTCCTTGTTGTATTTCTGACAACTTCATCAGTGTCATGCTTCTCTACATACCTCATCCAGTTGTTAGACTAGCTCACTGTATCCCCAATTTTTTTGTGTGACGTTATTCTTTTTAGTCAGATTCTTCTTCTTCTGTATTTGCGCTCAGCAGGGCAGTTGGCACATTGTGTTGTGGTTTACAGCTCGGCTGCAATAAATCAGATTATTGTCATAATGCCTTTAGGATCTGCCTGTTTTTCTAGTTATGAATGTTTGCTGTAGATCTGTTCCAGCGTGGGTCAGATGGTGTGTTTAAGGTTGAGATTCTCTACAACTATTATCTATTAGTGTCAGGTAACATCTTCTGTTAGAACTAGTCAAAGTATTAATTGTTTGGGTCTAGTTTTGTTTTAGTTGTCCCAAGTCTGTTCCCAGTGATCTGGTGAGCCACATTTAAATGTCAGTTTAATGAACCTGCACAGATGCTGGGTACCCTATTCAACCTGTAATAGTTTTATAATTAGGGTCCCTACAATAATGTGAGCTGTTTACTGGGACTCAGAAACATCACATCCAACCAAACAGCCTTATAACATTACTCTTATTGATCAGTCATTTGGGAAGCAGTCATTGCCCACAGGTGGTACAGTAAAAGCCACATTGGATACTCATGTAGTTATGTTCTATTGTCAGGTTTTATTGGAAACTTGTTGATTTATAGAACGCAGTGTTGGGAAATAAGAGGCAATGAAATATGTTATGAACACAGTGTTTACTGTGATTAGCTGTGTCTGTGTGGCTGATGAACACTGTTTGCTGTGATTAGCTGTGTCTGTGTGGCTGATAAACATAGTGTTTGCTGTGATTAGCTGTGTCTGTGTGGCTGATGAACACAGTGTTTGCTGTGATTAGCTGTGTCTGTGTGGCTGATGAACACAGTGTTTGCTGTGATTAGCTGTGTCTGTGTGGCTGATGAACACAGTGTTTGCTGTGATTAGCTGTGTCTGTGTGGCTGATGAACACAGTGTTTGCTGTGATTAGCTGTGTCTGTGTGGCTGATAAACATAGTGTTTGCTGTGATTAGCTGTGTCTGTGTGGCTGATGAACACAGTGTTTGCTATGATTAGCTGTGTCTGTGTGGCTGATGAACACAGTGTTTGCTGTGATTAGCTGTGTCTGTGTGGCTGATAAACACAGTGTTTGCTGTGATTAGCTGTGTCTGTGTGGCTGATGAACACAGTGTTTGCTGTGATTAGCTGTGTCTGTGTGGCTGATGAACACACTGTTTGCTGTGATCGGCTGTGTCTTTGTGGCTGATGAACACAGTGTTTGCTGTGATCGGCTGTGTCTGTGTGGCTGATGAACACAGTGTTTGCTGTGATTAGCTGTGTCTGTGTGGCTGATGAACACAGTGTTTGCTGTGATAGCGGTGTCTGTTGTTTGCTGTGATTAGCTGTGTCTGTGTGGCTGATGAACACTGTTTGCTGTGATTAGCTGTGTCTGTGTGGCTGATGAAAACAATGTTTGCTGTGATTAGCTGTGTCTGTGTGGCTGATGAAAACAATGTTTGCTGTGATTAGCTGTGTCTGTGTGGCTGATAAACACAGTGTTTGCTGTGATTAGCTGTGTCTGTGTGGCTGATGAAAACAATGTTTGCTGTGATTAGCTGTGTCTGTGTGGCTGAAGAACACAGTGTTTGCTGTGATTAGCTGTGTCTGTGTGGCTGATGAACAATGTTTGCTGTGATTAGCTGTGTCTGTGTGGCTGATAAACACAGTGTTTGCTGTGATCAGCTGTGTCTGTGTGGCTGATGAACAATGTTTGCTGTAATTAGCTGTGTCTGTGTGGCTGATAAACACAGTGTTTGCTGTGATCGGCTGTGTCTTTGTGGCTGGCTAGATATATATAGGGACAGATATCATCATGTGGCTTTGATGAGGGAACACAGATAATTGTGCGATTTCTCTAGGAAGGACATTTGAAGAATTAGAAAACTGTTCAACCTATCTGACTATGCTGTGACCTAGTTTATGTGAAGACTTAACACTGTACACCCTTAAAGCAGTGTATACCACCAGATTACCTGTGCAGCAAATTTGACTCAGCTACAAGATTGATAATAGTAAATAGTCTCCCCTCCCCATTACAAGAACATGTGTGTAAGATTTGTGGAGCATATTCACATCTCTTTGAATACTGCAATCTCCTGCTTGAGACCACACATGGAGATATGAATGCTGCAGCGTCAATGTGAATCTCAGTGTCTGTATATGACGTAGACATGCTATAAGTATCTTTGTGCAGATCAGTTGTCTCAGATTCAGTTTAGCCTGGATAGTGACAGTTGAGATCCTCGGATCAGGTGGGAGATGGGAGGCAGAGATAAAGGGCAGGTAGACCAAGCAACAACACACACAAAACTGAGAAGATGGGAAGTGGCTGATTTAGCATGTGGCTTTTATTAAATGTTAAAAGAGTGCTGAAAGGACCTGCACTAGCCATGTGGCTTAAAATTCTGGGCTCACCCATCCACCTAACCACCACTACCATCCCACAGTGTCATAAATGTCTTCAAGGCAGACAGTAATGACATTTTTTAAAATTTGTGATTGTGAATGGGAACAAACAAATTAGAAGGAGTTTGGGGGCAGCGGTGATGTGGTCAACACATTGCCTGCTGCGTTACCCTCCAGGGACATTTCCTGCTACCAGTATTAGGCTGGATCAGTTTAGGATTAGTAATGAAAGTCTGTCCTGACGCAGATCACCACCTCAGAACTTTTGGTTGGCTGACAGACAGACGTCTAGCCACTGTGTTACCACGGCTGTCTGAGAAAGATGAGTGGAGGAAAGTCTATTTATACAAGAGTTGGAGGCAGGCCTGAGAGACATGATGCTGGGGGTCACAGATGGTGACAGAACTTATCCATCACCTCAAGGACTGAGATGTGTGGACAGACATAAACACTGATTCCATCTGACAGGACGCATGGTGATGATGATAATGCCACCCTGTTTGACATTTGGGTTTTATTTACATTTGAGAATTATACATCACAGTGTTCTTATTGATTCTTAGTTTGTTTTTTAATTGCCCTATCAAGAAAAGATCACTATCCTCCTTTCTTCATGTTATAAAAGTCCATGGTGCTGCCACGATGAAATCTATGTTTATAAAGTCAGGGGTTGGCCTCTCACTTCACAACTGCTGTTTGGCCTGCGACTTGTTTTTGCCCCCCCCCCCCCCCCCCCCCCCCCCCCCCCCCCCCCCCCCCCCCCCCCCCCCCCCCCCCCCACTGTAGGTGCTGCTTGCCTGCTGCTGCTTGCCACTGTTTGTCTGCTGCTGCTTGCCACTGTTTGTCTGCTGCTGCTTGCCACTGTTTGTCTGCTGCTGCTTGCCTGCTGCTGCTTGCCACTGTTTGTCTGCTGCTGCTTGCCTGCTGCTGCTTGCCACTGTTTGTCTGCTGCTGCTTGCCACTGTTTGTCTGCTGCTGCTTGCCACTGTTTGTCTGCTGCTGCTTGCCACTGTTTGTCTGCTGCTGCTTGCCACTGTTTGTTTGTCTGCTTCTGCTTACCTGCTGCTGCTTGCCACTATCTCCCAGTAAAGCATAGTCCCTGAACTAACTCATGCCAAGCCCTTTGGGAACCATTTCATGATGTTGGAGCTTACTAAGAAGGAAGTAGCCAGTCTCATAACAACCCTCCTTAGTTGTTTTTTATGACATGCATGGAGGGTGCAGCATTACTATGCTTTGCTTCCCTCAACAGTTGCTATAGCATATTGCCATGGCCTGGCTGACTCCCGTGAAAGTATGTGTCACTGAGTTACCTGTACTTTGACATTGTTCCCCTGCAGGCAAGAAAAACAGCTGACTGGTGAGTTTATGTCTAAAGGACAACCAATTGCCAGCACCTTGTATGGATCTGATCTGTTGAGGGCATCTCTGAGGGACAGAAGTAAGTATTCAGCATCTGCTCTCTCTCTCTCTCTTTGCCCGTATCAAATCATATTTGCTGTTAACCAGACACAAGTTACACATTCATTTTTCAAGCTCAGTATTACAGACAAGGGAAAAATGTTTGTTCTCTTGCTTTGCATTTGACAGGAATATACTTGTTTTGAATGTAACCATATTTATATTTCCCAAGAGGAAACTATATATTTTTATCACTTTAGTAATATATTTGCATTGCTTGCTGGGTAAAGATTTTGTTTTGTATGTAAAAAAAAAAAAAAAAAACTGTGAATGAACCTTTTAGAATGATATTGTCAGTGTTTCTGTACCAGTTCACTTGTCTGTGTCTCATGACTTATTGTGTTTGATAGGAGACTGTACGTAAACAACAACAAGCAGATTGTCAGGGGACCCTGCTGACACTACTGGTGTATATAGTGCTGGACCTGGATTTATATAGACCAGTCAGCACTCCATGGGTGATGTCAGCATTTTAATGACTGCTTTTACTTCCCAAAGCATTGCCTGGTACCCATTTTAGGCTGGGTTATCCTGGGAGCCAAGGTCACTTTTGAAAAAGTCTGCCTCAGTGTGAACCCAAACCTGCCTCTGTAGGTTCCAGGACCCCCTTGCAGGGAAGATAAGAACAGACCCACTGCCTCCCCAACAAGCATGTTGTAAGAGTTGACTAATTAGAGGCATCCCCACAAAGCATGTTGTAAGAGTTGACTAATTGGAGGCATCCCCAACAAGCATGTTGTAAGAGTTGACTAATTGGAGGCATTCTCACAAAGCATGTTGTAAGAGTTGACTAATTGGAGGCATTCTCACAAAGCATGTTGTAAGAGTTGACTAATTGGAGGCATCCCCACAAAGCATGTTGTAAGAGTTGACTAATTGGAGACATCCCCAACAAGCATGCTGTAAGAGTTGACTATTTGGAGGCATCCCCAACAAGCATGTTGTAAGAGTTGATTATTTGGAGGCATCCCCAACAAGCATGTTGTAAGAGTTGACTAATTGGAGGCATCCCCATAAAGCTTGTTGTAAGAGTTGACTATTTGGAGGCATCCCCACAAGCATGTTGTAAGAGTTGACTAATTGGAGGCATCCCCAACAAGCATGTTGTAAGAGTTGACTATTTGGAGGCATCCCCAACAAGCATGTTGTAAGAGGTGACTAATTGGAGGCTTTCTTCAAAGTCAGAGTGCATCTGCCTGAGAGACAAGGTACCAACTGTCTGCATAGAAATAAGTGGGATTTGTAAAATGGATGTGCATGCAACACTTAAGTTCTGGAACAGGGCTAATGTCTAGAGGTGGAAGAGCACACATAACTTTCTACAAGAGTTTACAGCTGGTGAACATGAAGAAGAAGAGGAAGCAGAAGAACCCAGACCTATGGGCCAGCAAGCAGGTATATAGTCACTATGCTGCCTGGCTCGTATATGTGATGACTTGTTGTTGATGTTGATGACAAGGTGTCATCTATGTTGTACTTGTTACATTTGGTCAGAGAATACTCAAGGAATCTGGTCACATTTTTTAACAACTTGTCTAGTTTGGTCCCTGTAACAGTAATACAGTTGTGATTTTATTCCTAAGTCATTGTTTCTCCCACTGCACAGTTGTGGGTATGAATGCGTTTAAAATGCAGTAACTTAATGGTAGACTTTAGTGGAAAGTTGATTTTTAATGTTGCAGACAGACATATTGATAGACATTGGTGGAAAGAGTTATTTTTTATGTTGCAGACAGACATATTGATACATGTCAGCCAGAAAACTTGGTCTTGGTGACACTGGCAATAGATTGACATGTATTTGAAAGACAACTCATTTTTAATGGCACTGACACCAGATTGATATATCTTGATAGGAAAAACAGAATTATTAGATCAACTTTTGCCTTGACGTAAAAACTTGTTTCTAATTATCAGAACTTCTCCTGTACACATACTGCTATATGGTTGAGAACTGTTGTTTCCACATCACATAGTCCTGTGAACATTATGTAAAATGTGTTTATGGAAAAGTTAAACTATTTAAATGGCGCCCATACGATAGAAGAGGTGGAAGGAGATCTTTTTCTTTGCATTTGGTTTCGTATGCTCAGGTCAGATCATCAGCAGGGTTGCTTCTATGAATATGCATGTTAGTTGCAGGTCCCTAGTGGTTACCCATAGCTTGCTCTGCACACTTTGCTCTTGATGCCAGGTTTCTTTTCTTAATTGTAAATGTAGGGGGCCTGCAGAGGGAGATTTAAAACACAGAGAAGAGAATGAATTCTATAGGAATGGCATGGAACTAGCAACTGACGATGGCTAGAGATAGTTTGGCTCAGCCAGAGTTGGTTGAGGGCCTGTGTTCAAGTGGAGGAGAGAGGAGTTGAGAAGATGAATAGGTCCTTCTTCCTGACTGTCTCATGTCGTTTGGATATTTGTGATAGCCTCATATTTTATGGATCAGTTAAAGCTTGATGGATATGTCAGTATTCTGCAGACCACCTTTACTCTCTAGAACATTTCCTCAGTGGGGATCTATGGGGATGGGGAGGTGTGACGAGCCAGACTTGGTGGAAGAATGTTTCAACAAGATATGTTTATCACCATGTTATTGTTGATGCAAATTTATGTACTTTTCCCAGGTATAAGATATTCACTGGAAATTAGAAAAAAAAGTTATATGGTTACATTAAGTTATTGAATTCATGTTTTATTCATCACAGAATCCAGAAAACTCATCGACCCTGTCAAAACTCTCATCCAAATAATCATTCCTCAGCGTGTCCTCATCAGTGTCTGTTGACATATCACTGTCTTCATATCCTGCCTCATCCTCAGTTCCCTCTGTGACATTTGACACGCCACACTTCTTGAATCACTTGACAACAGTCTCAGTCCTCACAGTATCCCAGGATCTTTTCACCCAGCTACAAACTTCTCCTATAGTTGGCTTCTCCACTAGCTGCCAGTGTCAGATTGTCCCTAGAAGACTTCCGCCATTGGTTCCATTCATCTCTCGTGGCAACTTTAATGGTTTGCTGACATCAAGTGGTTGAGTCTTAGTGGACACAGGTAGTGTAACAAGTGGGGAACAGTGAGCATGAAGACAAGCGTTTAACTATTACAATGGGAGCAATCGTTTTAATTGAATTAATTAAATTGTTTTCTTTCTTTTTAATGTCGCCCCTGAAACAGCATGTCCCAAATGAAGCCCTGTAAAGGATATTTTCTAGCAAATCATTTGGCACACTTTGTTTTAGACCCTATATTTAGGAGAAATAAGTGTGTCTTATAGTTAGTGAAATATGGTGTGTAATTCTAGTAACAACCGTGTTTATGTTTCTGTTGTCATTAAATGGAAATGTAAAAAAAAATTGGATATATGTGTGTGCGTAAATATGTGCATGCAGAAGTGGGTGCGTGCAAATAAATGTGTGTGTGGGGGGTGTTTTTTTAAATAAATTTAGTTTTTTTATAATTGATAAATTCACATAAGCTACCTGTCATTGTTAAAATCCAATTATTTATTGCTGATGTTTATTTCTTCTTTTGTGTGTGTGAGCGTTTTTAAAATGTTGAATTTGAATTACTGTAAACATTAGCTGGCTGCAACCAAATATTTGTAAATGTTGTATGAGATATGTGGCTTTTCAACAAGTACCAGCTGTGATTACAGGGAAATGGTGGTGGAAGGTAGAAGGGGCCTCATTGCAGCTGTCGCCATTGACGTTTTCTGGTGTGTAAAGTCTGCATGTTGTAGACCACTATATCATGAGGTTGGGGGGTAATTTTCTCTCTCACTGCCTTTTTGCTCCATCAACGTGTGGGTTCTGGAACCCCATTTTCTTAGGTGAAGGGGGTAGAATAGACTTACAGCCCCCTAACAAGCTTGTCATAAAAGGCACAAAATTAGGTGTTTGCAGACATCTGAAAGATGTAGATACTACAGGCTAGCTGTCAACCACAAACAACACAGCGTGCCAGCTGTTCTTTTAAGGGCAAACATGGAAGAAACAGACTTGTGACTGTCAGGCTGGTTTGATGCCAGACTAGTCAACAATAAACTCTCAGTTGAGGGTTAAACCTCATCCACTCATAGACTACTACACCACCATACTTCTTCAGAAGATGGGGGACAGGGGTTGAGTAAAGGAATGAAGTGAGGAAAGTAACTGATCCTTGTACCTTGTGATGACATATATCTATGTGTGTGAGTTTGTGGGGGATGGGTTTTTTGTTGTTGTGTATGTGTGTTTGTATGTGAGTTCTCGCACATGCACATCCTTTAACATTGTGTCCCTCTTGCAGTACCAAGAGTCATTTTTATATTGTTGCTCATACTTGAAACTTTAAAGTCATTCTTCTTGGAAACATTCTGTAACACTTCACACCATTTCTTCTACTGGATTCTTCTTTTGCAGCATCATCATCATCAGCAGCAGCAGCAGAGTCTTGTCATCATCACCACCATTTCTTTACTTGAATTAAATGGCTTCAACAATTTGTCTTTCATTCTTTTCTGAACAACCTTTCATTCTTTTAGGATCTCCCTTTTCACTCCTTTCCTTCTCTTGTTCAGATTTGGTTTTGTGGTCAGATTTCTCTTCCACTGTGAGCTGTTTTTGTGGTCAGTGTTTATGTTCCCATGGAGCATGTCTGCTTTCTGACTTTGAATAATGTTCAAGTAATGGCAGCCATGGTGGCCTAGTGGCCAGATTGCACACCTGCTGGCTTGCTCTTGGGTTCAGATCTGCATTGAGTCAAATTCTAAAATAATTTGACCTTGACTGCTTTGTGGATCTATGACAAAAATGGGTACCAGGTAATGTCCTGGGAGTAAAAGTGGCCTGTTGACCGCATCAGCCACCTACTGTGGATTTGTCTTTAGAAATATAACCTAGCATCATATGCCCACACTAGCATTGGCACAACAAGGCTGCTGGACTTTTACTGTATAGTTAGTAACTGTTGTGCCTGGGTGCTGACCCAGCCATTTTTTTTCTTCATCTTTTTTTTGAGTCAGAGATTAAAAAAAAAAAATAACCTGTGCTTCCGGATCAACTCTGCTGAAACTGGGTGCAGGAAATTATTTTGAAAGTGAAGGCAGCTAGCCTGCTAATGATTGTATCACTCACTCATTGAGTGCGGGTTAGTCTAACTGTGTTGGGATAGCACCATATATCCCCACTTCACTGCATATAGGGGAGTCTTCTACTGACACAAGTAATGCTTTGTGTATAGTAACTGTTGTGTGGCAGTTATAACACTGGTGCATTGTTTGGTGTGGGAGGGGAGGGTCTGCCTTATCGGTTCCGGTATAATTGAATGAAAGTCATTCATGTCACAGCCAGAACTGTAACTTTGAGAGTGAAATCATGTCCAGTTATCTCTGTGTTATTCTAAAAATGTATCCATGAAATAATGGAAGATGTTGTCACTGTGTTGAGCTCATTCGTTAGTGGATTTAACCATGAACTGTGACAGAATTCATATGTTTCAGTTTTGAGACAAGGTTGTGTGTATAATTTCCGCTGTAGTTTATTGTGTTTTTTTATGTTTTACCATAATGATGTTTTACAACAATCTGGATAAATTCCTGTCTTCATAGCTTCGAGCTTGATCCTGTCTGGTAAATTAAACAATAAATAATGTTCTAGAAGTTTTAGTAATAGGCTTGGAAGAGAAGTGATCACATCCCATCATATCTTCTTCTTCTGTGTTCATCTGAAGATGTAATTGTGTTGCGCTTTTTTACAGCATGGCTGCAAAACTTGACTTTTGATTGATACATCAAACTTCTGCAGGCATTTTGCTGCCTGGTTTACTTCCCAGACTTCCAGTCATATCTGGGTTACTTCCCAGACATCCCATCATATGAAAACCTAATGCTGTACATCTCTAAATCAGCAATTGCCATGAAATGACCTTTGAGGTTGTACCTAATAGTTCTCACTGTGTGGGTTCCTGAGACCCACTTTAAGAAACAAAGAATACATTTATGACCTCCATAACAAGCGTGTTATACAAGGTAACTAAATTGGTATGTTTCCCTCGAACTCACAATGCATCTGCCCGAGAGGCAAGGAACCAGCAGTCTACATACAGATAAGCCAGCTCTGTAAAACTGGTGTGCATACAAAACTCAGGTTCTGGAACAAGACCAGAAGTTGACGAACATCCAAAGATTTCTGCTGGAATTTACTGCTGGTGAATGCAAAGAAGTACCTCATAGTTGTATTTTTTCTGTGTGGCCAAGTAGTCAAGTTGGTTGCCTCGTTCTGTGAGGGTGATAGGGTTGTATTAGGACTGAGCTGTTTGCCCCTTGTTTGTTGTCTCCTTGGGGATCATTGTTGCAGTTACAGAGTTGATGCTTTGCTTGCTTCTCTGGCAGGCTGCTAGTGGGTCCGTGCAGAAAGGCCAAACCCTGTGGGGTAAATCCTAGGATAGTAAAATCTGTTCTAGCATTACAATGGTGGGAGATGGGGGTGGGGGAGGTGGGAGGTTGTGTATATTTTTGTACTTGGTAATTTCTAATTGGTGAGTCATCTCTCTAGGTGTCATCACCTTTCTGCTTCTGTTAGGAGTGCTTGTCTCAAATGCTTGTCCCAGGTAAAGTGATGTTGCCATTAATCTATTTCTCAGGGGGATAATTTACCCACATCAGAAATAAGCACATTCTTTTAAACAGAGTAAGACTTTTGCCATAAATGGAAATCAGCAACTGACTATTCCAAGCAAGTTTACCAACTCTAATTTATTGCAGATCCATTAAGTGTTCCCTGTAGCGTACATTATTGTTAATCCATCTTAATTGCACTACATGTGAGATAGGTGGTGTTTAATTGAACCAGTTGAATTACATCCATGGAATAGACATGAGAACTAACTTAAAAGCTGTGTTGTCAACTTAAGGGAGCACACTCTCACTGCTGAGTAAAAAACAACTGTATTATTCCCTAGTAATTGTACCGTATATATATATGTGTTGTAGGTGCATGTAAGTGTGGTTGGTTAGCAGCACGTGTTATAGGTCTGGGACACCTGTTGAAGACAGCTGTCAGGACAGTTAATTTATGTATGAGAAAACTGGTGACAGCTGTTGCACAAGTGACAACTGTTGTGAGATATTGATGTGAAAAGGAGGGCCCACTGTATTCTGTCTGTTGATTTCATCATCGTCGTACCATGTTTGCCTCCTTGATTTCTTGTTGTGGTGAGTTGATTTTCATACTTGTGGGTGTGGAAAAGGGGGGAGGGGGGAAGGGAGAGGAGGTGTAAGGGAGAGAGACAGAGGAAGAAGTATAGAAAAAGGTAATTTGTAGGAGGAGAGATGAAAAAAGGAACACGATGAAAGAGAATCAGACAGAAGAGAGAGAGAGAGAGTGTGTGTGTATCAAAGAGAGAGAGAAAGAGGCATGAATTTGAAAGAGTAAAGTTTAAGAAATAAACATATGATTATGTTGATAATGATGATGACGATGATGGGGAGGGAGCAGAGAAAAGAAATCTTGGACAGATAACTGTATCTATCTTGTACCATGTTGAAGAAAGAGAGCAGCTAAACAACTTGGCAAGCATATCCATTGAGAAACCCTATCATCATCATGTTACAAGTCCTTGCAGAAAATTTCCTCTATCAGAGTGCCAGAAAGTCATCAGGTAACTTGACAGCCCCTCCTCCCCAACCTCATGTATGTTGATGCCTAAGATGTCTCAGACATTCAGTGTCCATGTCGACCCTGGTCTTTGTCTCTGTGAACCCTCTGAGTGATTGCTCATTGACTGGTTACTGGAGTTCAAGTTCATGCTGTGTACAGCTCTCACCATGAAACACTCTCAGCTGCTGGGTAGAAAGAGCACAAGTTATATAAGGTTCCCTGTGTGGGTTTTGGGGCTCATTATGGGGAGCAAACAGAATAGACCCACCCCCATAAGCATGTCATAAGATTTGACTGATTTGAATGTTTCCTTTTAAGTCAGTGCTTCTGCCTGAGATGTGAGGAATCAACACTCTGCATAAAAATAAGCCAGATTTGTAAAACGGATGTGCACACAAAACACTGTGTCATGAACAAGACTAAAGTCCAGAACTGGATGAACAACCAGAACTTGTAACTGGAGTTTACAGCCACTGAAGAAGAAGAAGATATGGGGGAAATACCCAGTGCAACAAAATTGACCCTTTTATATTCAAACATCCCTTTTTAATTGAATGAAGTTAATGAAAGTTAAATTCTGACAGTTACATCCCTGGGCTAATTGCAGGAAAACTTTAGAGATTCTAGTAGACATGACAGTTCTATAGAATGAACTGCACTTATATTTAGAATGCCAGCATTCAAGTTAACAGTTTGCTGGTGGCAGTAAAGAGCAGTAGGAACTATGCAAGAAGGAATCACTCTTCATTTAAAATTGGAGGACACATTTAGTTGTTGTCCATTGATGATGAGTGGGAGCACTTGTGGAAATGTTTGGAGTGCATTGTTGATAATCTGACCTCATCTGAAAGAACACTGTATGAAATAGAAAGCATTGGAGGATCAGTGCAACAGTTGCTGAGTTCAGTGGATTACATGGTTATAATATTAGACGACAAAGAAAGGATTGCAGAGTCTTGATCACCTACGCCTGCTCCATAGCAGCAACACCCCCCCCCCCTTTTTTTTCCCCATTTCCCCCATTAACATATCAAGCCACAAACACAGGATCCTTGGTTTCATTGTCAAAGTCCTTGCTAGGTTGTTTCACCTGACCTGATTGTGCTGAAATATTGTACATACCAAACATGACTAACAACCAGGTCGTAGGAGAGCAGGCTACGTGGAAGCCGAAGGTGTTAACTACATCCAGCGCCCAGCAAAGACAAGAGAAGTGGACTCTGATGCTGAGACTGCTGCTGCTGCTGCTTCGTCCTCCACTGTTCATCAACCAGAAGGTAGTTGGGGGGGGCACTTGTTTGTGTATGATTGTTTGCTGTTACCCCGTTGCTGTTTGCTTGGCACCAAATGAAGTCCACCACTGCCCTATCAGACACCTGCTTGCAGGATGTCTTAAGCTTTTCTTTAAGTCCTCCCACCCACTTGCTGCCAGGCTTCTCCCATTCTGCATGTTAGTTTTATAATCAGAAATAATATCAGCTCTGTTTTCTCCTAATGAGTCATTGACACATTTGGGGATAATATCAACATTCTCAACATACATCTCAGTTGTCAGGTTCCAGTTTTGGTTATAAGGTGTACTTATCTGAGTGTACTTCTCTGAGGTTACGTAAACATTTAGGAAGAGCTCAATTTGGTCAGCTTGCTTCTCCTAGGTTATGTAAATATGTGGGGACAGTGTCATTGTACTTTTCCTGCACTTCTCCAGCAACATTTCATCACCCAGAGAAGACAGGATTAAACAGGATCCAGCAGGAGCACAGGGACATTCAAATTTACCACCTCACAGATGGATGCAATCTTCTTAAATTAAAGGTTTCATTTATTTTCATTTTTTTTTAAATTTTTTTTTGGGGGAATTTGTGATTTCTTGTGTTTTGTTGTTGTTGCAATTCATGTGTTTCTGATGCAACATTTACTTTTGTGTGAACTACTGATTGTTTATAATTAGCATTTGAAATTGAGTTTTTGAATATACTGCATATAATATTTTTGTTATGTGCCTTTTCTTTAAAAAAAAAATAAATTGCTTTAGATTTCAGAGTGCTGGTAGAGTTTCAACCACACTTTGGCTACATGTTTTCATACATAAATTCATACATAATCTTTTTCAGATAAATTGAGTCTGTGAAATTGCTCAACAGATTATATTATTGAAACATTCAACAAATAATGTAGCCTGAATGAACGAACATACTTTATTTTCTAAGGGTCACAAATTAGGCACGCAGGCCCGTCTTACATTTGGCCCTTCCTAAACACCCATCTTTCACACAGCAGTTGTATTTTATCAATAAAGCATGGTATGTTTATGTAATAATATGCATATTATAAATATCGTCAAAAACAAAAGACAGTTGAGTGAGGACACAAATATAATGTGTTGAGTATGTGGCAGATTTGGTCTTCTAATATTTGAATTGTTATTGTATTATTGTATTTGTTATTGAATCATGTGATTGTATTTTGACAAGTGAACTTCAGCATTTGATGTTATTTTTAAGACACATTATTTATGTGAATTCATAATTGCCTATTTTCTGACATGTCATACTTTTCTGTAATGGTTACTGGTTGTAATGGTTGAGTTTAATAGCTGTTACTGCACTTGCAGCTTGTGTATTATTGTGTTACCATCCTGCTACTCAATGTCTAGAATTAAGGAAGGAACAGAGTATGATAAGCGGGCAATCTTCAACAAGCAAGGTGGCTTACTTCAGGCAGGTTGTCCAGTCTGCCCACATGCAGAGAGCAGCATATGGGTATTCCCTGCCAGTGGATCCTGACAGTATGTCTGCCAGCGGGCATCTTCAGCCATCTGGGTCTGCAGTTGCTGCTGGTGGTCTCTGCAGTGATGTGGCTACTGCTGCAGAGGATAGACCTAATCCTCCTGATGGATCTGCAGAGGGTGCTAGCTTTGATGAGAGTGGCACCAGGAAATATTATTCTGTTGGGGGCCAGATCAGTCATAGGAACTCCATGTCAGTTACACATGAACACATTAGGGGCAAGAGAGCTTTTCTCAACCGCATCATTAGCATCAGTGAACAGACTTTGTACTATGACGATGTGAAGCTGGCCACTAACAACATGCCACGGTTCAGTAGCCTGGACTCTAGATCCACATCGTCTCTGTGCTCCGACTACAGTATCAACCCCAAGTACAGATCCCTAAAACAGTCCTCAGGCACTAGTGAACTGGAGTTGTTCCGTAAACGAGGAGAAAGGTACTCACTGAGAAGAAAGAGGACACTGGAAGAAAGTCAGAGTGAAGAGCAGAATGAGAGAAAACCAGATACTTCTCCAGGTAACACCAGCATAGATTCAGGTGTGAATCAGACATCTTTGGGCGTGAGAGTGGCCACCTCAAACAATGCATCTGTAGCCTCTAGTGAGAGCCAGACATTCCCTGCTAAAGGAGAACAAACAATTTCAACCAACACTAGCACAGATTCCAGTGAAAACCAGACATCCTCTGAAGTGAAGAAGACAATCCCACACTGGCATGAGATCCTACGCATGCAGTCAGTTGTTGAAACCCTCACCAAGCAGAACAAATCTCCAACAGTGGCTTCCTCTGAGCCTTTCAATGAAGCACCAGAAGCTGAGGATCAGATATTCTCTTTGGTGAAACCAAAACTCAGAAAGACATCTGCTGGAAAAAACTCTGGCCGCCCGACACCAGGCAACTCTAAGGATGATTCATCTTCCTCCCAGGAGTCCATATCTGTTTATGTTGCATCTTACATGTCGCCGACAGCAAACAAGGGTCCTGATCAGTTTTTTGCCTCCACCCCAAAGACGGACTCTAGTTCAGAGCTAAAGATAAACAGTGTTCAGATCTTCCCGGGTCCAGCAGACGATGATATCACAGCTCCACTAAAGGAGATCAGACACACACATTTGAACCTCTCACCAAATGGACATTCTAATCCAGATTTGCCCCAGACACACAAACAAAAGAGGAACCTCTTTTTTGTGAGGCAATCCAGGAATGGGTCCAGGCAGCAAGGTATACAATTGTTGTTTGGCTTGCAGTGTGATATGCTTCCTACAGCTAGCTAGCAACTGCTTGTTTATAATATATGCACAATAGGGATTGTAAGTGAAGCCAACTTGACGCAACGATACCAGACCAAGAAGAAATAATGATCAAGTTGATACCTTGCTTGAATATTGCTTGAGTGCCTTGCTTTGCTAGATAGTCTAGCTCTGCCACAAGATAATTAGTGTGCTCTCTCCAACTTATTCTTGTCACTGAGTTATCAAGACAGTACAGGAGCTGTTTCTATGACTTGGTGTGTGTTGGGTTGAGCGTTGTTGCCATATTTATAAACATTTCTTTATAGAATTTCTCTCACCACACAGTGGCTGACTGTGTGTACACACTGCAATATAGAATCTCTCTCACCACACAGTGGCTGACCGTGTGTACACACTGAGATATTAAATCTCTCACCATACACTGGCTGACTGTACACACACTGAGATATTGAATGTCTCTCACTATACAGTGGCTGACTGTGTGTACACACTGAGATATATAGAATCTCTCTCACCATACAGTGGCTGACTGTGTGTACACACTGAGAAATAGAATCTCTCTCACCACACAGTGGCTGACAGTCAGCCACTGTGTACACATGAGATATTGAATTTCTCTCACCACACACTTTGTTGTCACTGGTTAAAATCATTACCAATGCAAATTCTTATAACATAACATGGACTCCTTCTTAAATATTAGGTGCTTTAAACAAGATGGGGCTAGCATCCTATACCAGCGATGCTTCAAGTTATAGAAACAGGCCCTTTTTATCACAGATCATTTGACATTGCTGTCTAGATATCTGAAGCTTGCATCATAGATAATTAACATTTTCACAAATATATAGCAGAGGTATCATATTTTGACATTGTCACCGCTATATTTAGCAGCTTGTATCATATATAGTTGTAACTTTCATGTCTAAAAAAGTCAGTTTCCAACCAAACCCAGCAGGAAAATCAATATCCACATAAATGATGGCATATTGTTTAGTAAGTGACATTTATTTATTTGAAAATTTCAATTGGTGTGTCATTATTCTTAAATTTTTCTTTGACCGGAATTCATTATGTATGGAAACTCACTGTAGCTTAACAGGAAAAGATCATTCTCACAGAATGAGTAGTTTCCATTTAGTCTATTTAGTAGAAAAGAGTTACATCCCTGTTTGAACTTTTCTGGGAGGTAATGTCAAAGTTAATGGTTTCTTTCTAATTAGGTTAGATTACTTCCTACCATTGTGACTCTTTTGGAGACAGAAAGTCTTGGTTAATCTCTCTCTTGTTCTCTCTGTCTTTCTCTGCCACCCCCCCCCCCCCCCCCCCCAAAACCTTATGCACTTTCAATATTTATATATAGTCAGGTTCCCAGTCATCTTCCAAGTTCACATGAGTAGTTATTAAAAAATGTTAAATTAACAGATGGTTGTTTTTGACTAACTGCCAGAAATGTTTATATATTCTCATATTGAAATTATTATTAGCAATAGTATATTTATTATATAATCCTCTTATATTATGTGTGTTGATAGAATTGCTGAAACCTTTTGTCTAAACTCAAAAGATGTGTCAGTCAGTTGACTGCAGACAGAATAAACCACCAGCAGATTTTAAAAGCTGTTTGGTTCGGTTGGCTTGGCATTTGGTATATGGCTTTAAAGTTGTTTATATGCCAGGTTGACATTTGGTATATGGCTGTAAAGTCGTTTATATGCCAGATTGACATTTTCAGGGGCCCTGGGGCAAACACACACACACACACACACACACAAACTATTATAATTATATTATAATGCACTGGATATTATAAGACAAATGTTTTAGATGATTATTCTAATAATTTTAATTGTTGATTTGTGGCCAGTAGTCGTACTCCCACTGTATATATTACAGTTGTTGCAGTGAAAAAATTGGTTCCATCTAAGGTGCAGGTTAACAGTCCATCTCAAACCAGTTCACTGCCCCTTGTTCCTGCTGTGTCGTCTGCAGACTCTCTTCCCAAGTTGCTCTTTGTTGAGATATATAACACAAAGGATAAAAAAGTCTCTCAGGCCATATAGCCATTTATTTTGCTTGAAATTTTTTATTTATTTGTCCTACTCTCTAATAGTTATTGCAGCTCAGCACATTTTATTTACATATTCCTTCCCATATTTTCTGACATAATTATCCCAGTGTGTCATATTTTCTGACATAAGTCTGCCAGCTTGTCATAGTTTCTGACATAAGTATCCCAGCATGTCATAGTTTCTGACATAAGTATCCCAGCATGTCATAGTTTCTGACATATGTATCTCAGGGTGTCATAGTTTCTGACATAAGTATCCTAGCGTGACATAGTTTCTGACATAAGTATCCCAGCATGTCATAGTTTCTGACATAAGTATCCCAGCATGTCATAGTTTCTGACATATGTATCCCAGGGTGTCATAGTTTCTGACATATGTATCCCAGCATGTCATAGTTTCTGACATAAGTATCCCAGCATGTCATATTATCTGACATAAGTATCCCAGCATGTCATAGTTTCTGACATAAGTATCCCAGCATGTCATAGTTTCTGGCATAAATATCCCAGCTTGTCATATTTTCTGTCATAAGTATACCAGCTTGTCATAGTTTCTGACATAAGTATCCCAGCGTATCATAGTTTCTGACATAAGTATACCAGCAAGTCATAGTTTCTGACATAAGTATCCAGCTTGTCATATTTTCTGTCATAAGTATCCCAGCTTGTCATAGTTTCTGACATAAGTTATGTTATTTTA